GGGGGGGGGATTGTTGTGGTGGGGGGGTTACGGGGACTTGTAATCTTATTATATACTTATTTGTTTATTTTTTTTGGTGGTGGGCGGGTACTAAAACCAAAGTCCAAAGCAGAGTTTCAGGAGTTATTTTTATTTTACAGTTCATACTGTATCATAATAGATCATTTTATAGTAAAAATTTGTTACAAATACACAAAGCGGACCGAGCCCCCTTTTAGCTGTTGGGGCGTCACATTGACACCTTCTTCAGTTTTTAGATGCCTTGTTTCAGTGTAACAGCATCCTAAATCAATAATTAATTTCATATTAACCATATGATGGTGGACCGGTCCAGCAAGCTAGCGTTCCATTGCTCGAATGTGCCGACAAGAGGGGAAAAGAAACCCACACATTGCACATTTCAAAATAAAGCGCTGCATTTGTCTATTAACAGCTGGAAGCTTTTATTTTGAAGGTGAATCTTAGCTTTCTCCGTGTTGTTTAGCTGAAAGGCCCCAGCTTAATTTATCAGAAGGTTATCAAATTTTAGCAGTTAATAACTAGTGAAATTACTGATATCATATCAGATGTGTTTTTATTGATATTGAACATGTGTCTATCATAATATATATTGTTACTAAATTATCGCCCAGCCCTAGTTTATTCACAACGTTGCCAAAAGCTAAAAACAATAATAAGATTTGTAATCTGTAATTGACACAAGTATGAAACATAAAAAGTTTGAAACTTTTACAAAAAGATATCCAGCTCCATTTAAATATCGAAGGGATTCACTTGAACTTAAAACAAATGCCCTATCGTCATTAATTTGACCGTCTCCCCTTCAGCAGGAGATTAGGTCCGTTTAATCTGCTGTCTTATCTTCTTTATGACTTTATAACGGATAAGAGACTGCCTTAAAGTAGCATTCAGCCCTAAACGATCCAAGCTGGTAGAATCACAACAGTTTTCACCCAGTGTTTTAGTTTTAAGCCGAAGACAAACACGGAGCTTCTGCAGGCGAACAGCTGCTCACAGTCTGCTGAACTTCAATAGCGTGTGTGATGAAAGAGCAAACAGGTTTGCTGATGCCTCAGAGACGTGCAGGAAAAGGCTTTTAGGTTTCTAAACTTTGCCCTTTAACTGTTCTGCTCCACAGCAGCCAGCAATGTGAAGGAATTTATCAGTTAGATACTGATGTTAAAAGCACTACACCATTTTCTTACTTTCCCTTTTAAGTATTGACTTTTATGATCTATTGTTTGACGATTRTTGTCTTGATTAAAATAGTTTAGATACATGACCAAACCACCAACAACACATAGAAAAACCGTTATCAATTCATTAGAACAGTGATTCCCAAACTTTTTATCTTCTGACCCACAAAATATCCATGGCAAAAACTTGTGACCCCAAATATTACTGGTCTGAGTACACAAACTTCATTAATAACCCTAAAAACACAGGCTTTTTGACAATCTAAACAGCTTGTACACAAATATGAATACTTATTTATACTTTAGTGTTTTGGTAATAGTTATAG